CGGTGGGCAGCGGTGGGCAGTGGCGGGCAGCAGCGGGCTTCGCGGCACCCGGCCCTGCCCTGGGTGTCCAGGGCCCATTCCCAGAGGTGGTGACAGAGTGGGACTTGTGTCACGGGCCCTCCATCCCAGGAGCGATGGGGAGATAGGCCAGGCCCAGGAATGCGGCCTCTGCCCATGAACTCGCTCTGCGCCCTGCAGGCCGGGGTCGGCTGGAGGTCACTGGGGACTGGGGCGGGCAGGTGAGGGGCAGCCGGGAGCTCGGGAGCCGGAGAGGCCGCACGGTCCTAAGAGGGCAGTGACTGCCTTCAGGCTGCCCGCGGAGGGAGGGCTGTCCCGTCCCCGGGTCCCTCCGCTCCGCCCTCTACCCGGGGCTGCTGCTACCCACCATCTGTAGGGTAGTCTCTTCTCTTGCGGGCAGGAGGAAGGAACTTGCAAATTAGAAAACCTTAATTCCCTGCCCCAAAATGGCCGTGGTCATCCCGTCAGCCCCAGCCTTTGACTGCTTGGTGACAGCCAACGGGGGCAGGGCAGAGCTGCTCGGAGCAGGGCCGCGCTTGGGCCGCCGGGCGCTCCGCCGCTCTGCCTCCTCTCCACACCTCTGCTGGCCTCTGGCTTGAGGGCTGCGGGCGGGCGGGGTGGAGGCCGGGGGCCGGAGGCCCGGCTGGCCCGGTCCCTCTCCAAGACCTGCTCTCTGCTGTGCAGTAACAGCGGCTTTGAGACACTTTGCTAAGGCTGGATAGGTCCTTCCCAGAACTGGACATGTCCACCTGAGCCATGGACCCCAGGGCTAGGCCTTCCAGCACCTTCCGGCCACCGGGAGATGCTTGTCAGCTTATCAGAGGCCCGTGACTCTGAAGTCTTTCTTATCAGCATCCCACCCATGTGCGTGGGCAGGGCCTTCCGTCCACCCAGCCCGCCCGGGCCTCTCTCCTGCTTTGGGCCCCAGGATGGGTGAGGGTGACCTGGGCCGCTGAGGCCGGGCGTGCCTGAGCTGTGGGCCGCACTGGGCCGGCCCCCGGTGGTCCGCACAACATCTGGCCCCATAGAGACTGCCAGACCTGGGAGTGTGGAAGCCACGCCGGCCACACCCGAGGAGGAAGAGGCCTCTGGCGGGCCGTGGCCGCGCGCTCCACGTCTGTCCCCCAGTGGCCCCTCTGCCCCGTGGGGCTGCGCCCTCCGCTGTTCCCAGGCCCCGTGAGAGGGGCCCTCACCAAAGCCTCGGCTCTGACGGGGCAGGGCCCAGCAAGCCCTGCGCTGGCCTCAAATGGCTCTGCTCAGGGTGACAACAGGGGACACGGGAGGGGGGGCAGCCACCTCCTGGGCGGAGGGCGGGGATAGGGCGGCGGGGAGGAGGAGGAAAACAGTGGTGACCTCTAACACTGCAAATGGATACCCTGACCTTCCCTAGCTCCCAGACACCCCAACCTCCCAGCCCTGACACCCCAACCTCCCCAACCCTGACACCCCAACCTCCCAGCCCTGATACCCCAACCTTCCCAGCCCTGATACCCCAACCTCCCCAACCCTGACACCCCAACCTCCCAGCCCTGACACCCCAACCTCCCCAGCCCTGATACCCCAACCTCCCCAACCCTGACACCCCAACCTCCTAGCCCTGACACCCCAACCTCCCCAACCCTGACACCCCAACCTCCCAGC